TTTTACTTGTAAAGTACATCAGTTCAGTTCAGTCACTCAGTTGTGCCTGACTCCTTGCGACCCCATGAACGGCAGCATGCCAGGCCTCCCTATCCATCACCAGCTCCCAGAGTTTACTCAAACTTATGTCCATTGAGTCGGTGATGCCACCCAACCACCTCCTCCTCTGTCATCCCCTTCTCCTCCTGCCTTCAATCTTTGCCAGCAACAGGGTCNGCTTCCTGACCTGCATACAGACTTCTCAAGAGGCAGGTCAGGTGGTCTGGTATTCCCATCTCTTTCAGAATTTTCCACAGTTTATTGTGATCCACACAGGCAAAGGCTTTGGCATAGTCAATAAAGGAGAAATAGATGTTTTTCTGGAACTCTCTTGCTTTTTCTATGATCCAACGTATGTTGGCAATTTGATCTCTGGTCCTCTTCCTTTTCTAAAACCAGCTTGAACATCTAGAAGTTCACCGTTCACATACTGTTGAAGCCTGGCTTGGAGAATTTTGAGCATTACTTTGCTAGTGTGTAAGATAAGTGCAATTGTGCGGTCTTGAGCATTCTTTAGCATTGCCTTTCTTAAGGATTGGGATGAAAATTGACCTTTCCAGTCCTGTGGCCACTGCTGCGTTTTCCAAATTTGCTGGCATAGTGAATGCAGCATTTTCACAGCATCATCTTTTAGGATTTGAAATAGTTCAACTGGAATTTCATCACCTCCACTAGCTTTGTTTGTAGTGATGCTTTCTAAGGCCCACTTGACTTCACATTCCAGGGTGTCTGGCTCTAGGTGAGTGTTCACACCATCGTGATCATCTGGGTCGTGAAGATCTTTCTTGTACAGTTCTTCTGTGTATTCCTGACACCTCTTCTGCTTCTGTTAGGTCCATACCATTTCTGTGTTTTATTGAGCCCATCTTTGCATGAAATGTTACCTTGGTATCTCTAATTTTCCTGAAAAGATCTCTAGTCTTTCCCATTCTATTATCTTCCTCTATTTCTTTGCACTGATCATTAAGGAAGGCTTTCTAATCTCTCCTTGCTAGTCTTTGAAACTCTGCTTTCAAATGGGTACATCTTTCCTTTTCTCCTTTACTTTTGGCTTCTCTTCTTTTCACAGCTACTTGTAAGGCCTCCTCAGACAGCCATTTTGCTTTTTTGCATTTCTTTTTCTTGGGGATGGTCTTGCTCCCTGTCTCCTATACAATGTCAGGAACCTCTGTCTATAGTTCATCAGGCACTCTGACTATCAGATCTAGTCCCTTAAATCTATTTCTCAATTCCACTGTATATGTAAAGTACATACATACATATATATATACATATATATATACACATATATATTATATCTGAGCTTTTTTATTCAAACTTCGGCGGAATTAAGGAAATACCATTTACTGAACCCTTCATATATATTATCTCTACCATACACAACTATACTGCAAATATCATCCACATTTTACAAAGGAGGAAACTTATAAGTTTAGAAATTTTGAATCTGAGGTCCACATCTAATAAGTTACAGAAACATGATTTATACAAGGATTTGAGCCCCAGTTCTTTCCACTTCACTTTGTTAATGTATGCCTAGCTTGGAATGTTTTCTGTAGGGAAAGAATTTTCATCATGGCTATTATTTCGTCAGTATGCAATATGTTGCAATATAAACAGAAGGACAAGTAATGAATCCAGATAATGTCAAAAATAGCCAAAGAACTATAATCTTACATTAACTATTTGCAGATTGAGCAAGTTGTTTAACTTCTCTGTGCCAAAACGTCTTCACATATTAAATAAAGATAATACCTTAGAGTGTAGCTATGATGTTGAAGTAGATTAAAACATTTAAAGCACTTAGTACAATGTCTTGCACATAAACACTCCATAAATTTCAGCTACTGCTCTTGAGATGAGAAATCACCAGATACACATATTTTGTACCAGGTGTCTCCAGAGAGCAATAGCTGGACACCCAATTCAAAGACAATCAATCCTACACTGGCTTGTGATCTATGACATGGTCTAGTGGGAAAAGGTAATGTGTGTCAATTAGATTCTCTCTCAGGAGTCTGAGTTAAAAAACAAAGATTGAGCCAGTGATCAGTGATTTAGAAATTAGTTTGGCTCATACCTTCATCAGTTTCCTCTTATCAAGGACATGTACGGATGTGAGAATTGGACCATAAAAAAGGCTGAGTGCCGAAGAATTGTTGCTTTTGAACTGTGGTGTTGGAGAAGATTCTTGAGAGTCCCTTGGACTGCATGGAGATCAAATCAGTTAATCCTAAAGGAAATCAACCCTGAATATTCATTGGAAGGACTGATGCTGAAGCTGAAAATCTAATACTTTGGCCATCTGATGAGAAGAGCTAACTCAGAAAAAACGCTGATGCTGGGAAAGATTGAAGGCAGGAGGAGAAGGGGACAACAGAGGACAAGATGGTTGAATGGCACCACCGACTCAATGGACATGAATTGGAGCAAGTTCTGGGAGATGGTGAAGGATGGGGAAGCCTGGCAAGCTTCAGTCCAAGGGGTCACAAAGAGTCAGACATGACTGAGTGACTGAATAACAACAACAACAATGATGCTAAATATGCTCTAAATCTAGCTCTTCAGTCTTCCTTTTTATATCACCTGGAAGCATTCAAGCTGTTGAACATGCCACAAACATTCTTTTGCCTGTCCTCTTTAATCTATCTTTTTAGAATGCACTGAAATACTGTAACCGCTCTACACTTCATCCCAAGCTACTTCTCTTTACACTCTTTACACTCCCTTTAGGCAATTTCATCCACATTCATGGTTTCACTAATTAACTCCATGCTACCCCAGACTTTTCTTGTATATTCAACTGCCTTGCCAATCTCTCCACTTATTGGATAATTCAAAGATACCTCAGATTCCATTTGTCCAAAACTAAACACATGATCTTCCCTCTCAAACCCAGCCAGGATCCCTTTCAGGACTCCCTATCTCCATAATGGCATCACCAACTATCCAGCTGCACAAAATAAAAAATTAGAAGTACACTTTGATACATCCTTCCCCCACATTCCCATCTTTCACTAAGTCCTATTAATTTTGCCTTTTAAACATTTCTCAATCCCTTCCCTCCATTTTTGGATTTTTGACCAAAATTCTTATCCTAGCCTTTAAGGCCCTGCAAGATCTGCTTCAGCTTACCTCATTTGTCTTCCTATTGCCCTAAGTGTAGCCACACTTGTCTTCTTTCAGTTCCCTGAATATAATACATCATGCTTCCTCCTACCTTAGGGTATTTGCACATGGTTTCCCTCTGCCTGGACCACTCTTTGCCCATCTCTTCATTTATTCAATCTCTATTATATCTCAACTAAAATTTCACTTCCTCAGAGAAACTCCTTGAACACCTAGACAATATCAGGTCATTTATTCATTAATTTAAAAAATTTTCATTAATAACTACACAAGGTATGGTTCTAGGAATGTGGAATTAATAAACACAAGACAGACTCTTGCCTTCATGGATCCTACATTCTAGAGGAATGAGGCAGTAAGCAATAAAAATACTAAATAGATTAAGTTATATGTGTGAAGGCAGTAAATCTATGGAAGGAAAGAAAAGAATAAGGTAAGAGAATTACAAGCAGGGAGTTTTCAGTGCTTAATTTGATGCCTAGAGAATAGTTGGCACTCAAACATGTGTTGGGTGGAGTATGAAAAAGGGAATGAGCATGTTCAAGTTGAGGGAGCTTAAACTATAAAATAAGTAGAGGACTTACTTGGTGCATGAACAGAGATGCCATGAAAGAAAGACAAACCATGCAGGTCTTAAGAGGTAATGATCTCTTAAATCATTCTTGATCGCTTCTTATCGATTCCAGTTTCAGTCACTGTATGGTCTAACCATAACTGCGACCTCCCTCCCCTACCCCCAAAGGGCTGGATAATTCAAGTGGGTCACTCTTGTAACCAAAATACCCAATCAGGACACACATACAAAATTATGGATACCACTCCATCACCCACCACCACACAGTGGCTTTCACCAAAGCCACTGCTTTTCTATACACACACACACAGACACACACACACACACACACACACACACACACAGAGCTATCACTTTGATGCTCCAGTTCTTCAGTTCCCAATCCCTCTTAGTGACAAACCCCCCCCCCCCACATACACAGGACTGTAAAAGCCCTTTCTTCTATGACCCTATAAGGCTTAGGTCATTATCTCTCCAAGCCAGCCAAATTTACAAGGCAGTCCCCTCAGAAACAGAATCTTAGGTCTCCTTGCCTGTTAGTCTCCCTGCATTTTAAAGACTAGCTTCCACCCACAGACACGTGAAGGTGCATCCCTCTGTGATTCTGAATGACCTTCAAGACTACTGACCCCATACACACCCACACTCAGGCTCCAGCCTCCTTTGGTAGGGTTTTGAAGGATTGGGTGTCCCCTCAAGCCTCTTGTCCTCTTAAGGACTCATATGAGGACTTACATACTTTCTCTGTGACAGGGGTGACCCTCAGTCACTACACTTCCCTGAAGCACAAACACTCATATATCCCTTTCCATGGCACTGCCTGAAACTAAAGTAACACTCCTCCTACTTAACCTGCCTCCTCAGAATTAGAGTCCCTCTCCCTTTATAGGGCCCTCCCATAGTCCACAGGATTGTGTACAACCCCTCCAGTGAAGCAGCCTACCCCCTACAATCAGCCCTCATCACAGGTGCCCCTCTGGAGGCGAGTCGTCGTCCCTGGGGTCCCAGCCCTTCCTCACTCCAAAGAGTGCACACACTCTCCTACACTCCCGCGACGCCTCGACAGCGCGGCCTCTGCCCGACACTCAAAGGGGTGTGCTCCTCCCTTGACCCTTGACCCCGAGGTCATAACCTCACCGCGCAAACACAGAGGGCGCCTCTTCAGGAGCAGCGCCAGGCCCAAGTCTCCTGTCCCCTAGGGCCCAGGACAGCGCCGTGCTGCCTCAGCTCTTCCCCCTGATAGACCGCCCCCACAGACCTGCCTCAGGCGCCGTCTGGCTCCGCTCCGCCATTTTTTGTTGTCGTTCCGCCTCTGAGCCCACGCGAAAATTGCCGGGCAGTGGGGAGCGGGCGATAGGATCCGCGGGCTGACAGGAGCTCCCTCAGGAAGACGCTGCGCGACGGTTGCCAGGGCAACGGGCAGCCGGCGTGTAGACGGCCGGCGCGTGGCGCGTGGCGGGAGGGGGGCGGGCTGGGAGCGAACGTGCGTCCGAGGCCCCGCCCCCTCGGAGCGAACCCCTTCCCTGCCCGGGTTTCTGCCGGGCTGGGACTCCGCCGCGCTTTTTCCATGCAACCCGGCCCGCGTTCTGGCAACTGAGCATGCTCGGCCGCCGCTGAGACGCCGGGGACCTGGTTCGCTGGGGTCGCGCTCTCATGCTGTTCAAGCAGGTGCACGTGCTGACTGAAGAGCTGAATGGGCTGTTTTTACAGATTTCTCAATTTCCCAGCGCTTCTGCCTACCGTGTGCCTGGCTCTGATCAAGGTGCTGAATAACTTGTATCTTCAACTGGAATGCCCTGAGAATAATTATGTGCCCATCCCACCCCAAACACGTGGAGTACTAACGGGGTGGCCTCCTCATCTCTCTACATCAGCACTAGCCCCAACTGTAGCAAAGTCTTCACTTTCCTCATTTTCTCTAGTCTTGTTTAGTCTTTTGTAGTCGGTAAATCATGTGGACTCTTGAGATGCCATGGACAGTAGCCCACCAGGCCCCTCTGTCCTTGGAATTTCCCAGGCAAGAATACTGGAATGAGTTGCCATTTCCTTCTCCAGGGATCTTCCTGACTCAGGAATGGAACCTGTGTCTCCTGCATTGGCAGGGAGATTCTTTACCACTGAGCCACCTGGGAGGCCTAGTCTGTCTCTCAGAATAACCTGGGGTGCTCTTACCCGTTTCTGCTAATCGTCACTACCTTCTAAGACCAAACTAGAACCTATTCTTTGCTGAATTGCTCTGTCCCCCACAGTCACCTGTGCATTCGTGTCCGAACATTTACAATGCTTTATGCATTATTTACTTCTCTTTTCCTCACTTGACAGTGAGTTCCCTTATGCCTAGGGTCAAGTCTTTATCTTTGAACACTCCATAATAGAGCATTGTGCTTCTGGCAAAGGAAGTGTTAAGTAAATGTTTATGGAATGAAAAGTGGTTCCTAAGTTCACACCTGCACATTCTTACCTGTTCTATTGAGCACTTAATTCTTACCAAATACCTTGCAAGGTAGGCCCCTAGTCCTCCAGAGGCTCACAAAGGAAGGGAAAGACATAATGAATTTGATGGAGGTTAACTCGTTTGGGGTTGCAAAGAGTCGGACACGACTGAGCGACTGAACTGAACTGAACTAGTCTTACAAGTGCTGCAGGATCAGAGGGATGGAAATCTAAGTTGGGGAGAAGGAGAGGAGGTGGCTAATCAGTGAAGACTGCAAAGGGAAGAGGATACCCTAGCTGAGTTTTGAGGAATGACCAACTGCAAGCCAGGGAAGGGAGAGGAATAGTGTGCCCAGGCCCAGGGAGCAGCACGTATCCAGGCACAGAGGGTGGGGATCACTGTTTGAAACTGCAAGAAGTCCAGTACTGCCCTGGTACAAACTGCACAGGGTAAAGTGTTGTCTCTAAAGAAGTTCTTGTATAGTTAAGTAATTTCTTCTTTTGGGTTCCCAAAAAGCAGAGCCTAGGCAAGGACTTGAGTGCTAGTAATTTGGGGGGAAGGTAAGACTATGAAATAGTAGTGAGGTATAGACAGTGAAAGAGGGAAGGGGAAAAAAACAAGAAAAAATGTGTTATTTAGGTAATTGCTTTGGTAGAAACTAGGCTTGATCTCACTGGAGACCCTCTGAAGAACCAGATATTAATAGAATGTGCCTCAACATTGTCCCACTAAGAACAAGGTTCATGTACCTTAGTTTCCATCCCCATTGGTTGAGGGTTAGGACCTTGAACTCTTTAACATTTCCTGGTTACACTGGTCCAGTGCAAAGCTGCCTTCTAGGGCTTAAGGCAGAAAAGCAGGACTAGAATGCTTTGGGGTGGTTTGCTGGCAACAAGCATGGAACTGTCCATTCACCCCTACTGAATCAAAAGATAAGGTGTGGACACCACAAGAATCTTCTGTAGAAAATTGCATAAAAATACCCATCAGAAATTACCCCTCACATTCCAGCAATTTGATTTTCACAAGTCATGTTAATACAACCATCAAGATGAAGATACACAAGCTTTCACATATCAATCCTAATGACTGAATTGTAAAGGCTGTGAGGCTGTAAGAATTTCAGTGTGGGAGGGCTGAGAGACAAAGGCGCTTCATTAAATATTGTGTGTGTGTGAGTGTGTGTGTATGTGCCCAGTCACTCAGTTGTGTCTGACTTTTTGTGACCCTATGGACTGTAACCCACCAGGCATGCCTCTGTCCACGGAATTTTCCAGGCAAGAATACTGGAGTAGGTTGCCACTTCCTACTCCAGGGGATCTTCCCGACCCAGGAATCGAACCTATGACTCCTACGTCTTCTGCATTGGCAGGTGGATTCTTAACCACTGCACCACCTGGAAAGCCCTCATTAAATATAAAAAGGTGGGGGAAAAGGGAGTTTGAAGATCCAGGTTCTACTCAAACTCTGACCTTGTAACTTTATAATCTTGGGCAGATTACTTACATTCATTGAGCCTCAGTTTCCTTTTCCAACAAACTGAGGCAGAAGTCCTGCCTGCCACAAAAAATTTGCTAAGTCACAAATGGTAATAGATTACAGTGCATTTGGCAAGTATAAATGTAGTAAATAAAGGATCTAAGATGTTTTAGAACAATTCACTTATACATCCCTTGATTTTTTCTGCTGAGGCAGAATCTGTGCAAGTACTAGAGATGAAGAGGGGAATATAACACTGTCCATATTTTCTAGGAGCTCACAGTCCAGAAGAATAAGAGATTTAATCAGTAATTACAACACAGCATGATCAGTGTTCTGATAGAAGAAAGCATGGGAGACTGGGGGAGCCCAGAGGACGAGGGCACAAACCAGTCTGGGAGAGAGGGTATCAGTGAAGGGAGATTCAAGGAAAGTTTTCTGAAGGAGATAGTGTCTGATCTGACCTGACTCTTCAAGGGCAAGTACCAGTGAGCTGGGCAAAGAATACAGGGATATGGAGAGAAAGGATGATTGAGGAAATAGGAACTGCATGGGCAAAGCAAGGGATAGTGTATCTGAAGTGAAGACCAAGGCGGGAGTGGTACCTCAATAGGTGAGGGCAGCCTTGGAGAACTCATATGTGGGAGAATTGATCATTTAGTGGGTAGAAACCCAGTGGCAGGTTTTTAAGGAGGTCAGGGTCACTGTGCTGGTTGCTGTGTCGAGTAGATTAGAGCCAGGAAGATTAGAGCCAGGAAAATCAAAAGACTGTGTAGTAAATAATCTCCACAAATGTATGAAGCACATAGAAGATTCTGGTCAAAAGGCAATCCAGGGCTTCCCTGGTGGCTTAGTGGTAAAGCATCCACTTGCCAGTGCAGGAAACACAGATTCTATCCCTGGCCTGGGAAGATCCCACACGCCGCGGAGCAGCTAAGCCTACATGCCGCAATTACTGAGCCTGTGCTCTAGAGCCCAGGAGCCACAACTACCGAGCCCACGTGCTCTCGAGCCTGTGCTCTGCAACAGGAGAAGCCATTGCGATGAGGTGCCCACACACGGCAAGTAGAGAAGAGCCCAAGCAAACAAAGAAGATCCAACACAGCCAAAAAATAATGTAAATCAATAAAATTATTTTTTAAATGATAATCTGAAAAGTCAACAAACATGTTTCTATGGAACTAAACTGTTCAATTTAAATTTTAAATAAAATGCAAAAATCATTTGGTCAATCAGCAGATGAATGGATGAGGAAGCTGTGGTACATATACACCATGGAATATTACTCAGCCATTAAAAAGAATTCATTTGAATCAGTTCTAATGAGATGGATGAAACTGGAGCCCATTATACAGAGCGAAGTAAGCCAGAAAGATAAAGACCATTACAGTATACTAACACATATATATGGAATTTAGAAAGATGGTAACGATAACCCTATATGCAAAACAGAAAAAGAGACTCAGATGTATAGAACAGACTTGTGGACTCTGGGAGAAGGCGAGGGTGGGATGTTTCAAGAGAACAGCATTGAAACATGTATATTATCTAGGGTGAAACAGATCACCAGCCCAGGTTGGGTGCATGAGACAAGTGCTCGGGCCTGGTGCACTGGGAAGACCCAGAGGGATCGGGTGGAGAGGGAGGTGGGAGGGGGGACCGGGATGGGGAATACATGTAAATCCATGGCTAATTCATTTCAATGTATGACAAAAACCACTGCAATGTTGTAAAGTAATTAGCCTCCAACTAATAAAAATAAATGGAAAAAAAAATCATTTGGTCAGACTGTCCACATGTCCAGTGTTCAACATGTGGTTGGTAGCAACTATGTTAGACAGCATACATAGAGAGAATCTTTCTATCACTGCCGAAAATTCTATTGGACAGTGGACAGCACTGATAAATAAATGGCAGCTGAGCAGAGGGGATGGAATGCCTGGGAAGATCTGCACTGACAGGACCAGGTTTAGTTCCCCTGTGTGTCAGCTCCTCTTCAGAAAGGAGTGCATTCCTTCTGGAGTTCTCAGAGACTTCCCTTTTTTTATGTGAAATAGCATAGCCTGGGACACAGCATAGAAATGCCCCCTACCTGGGTCACGATAGTCAGCTTTACCAGGCTACCATTCAGAGTGTCCCTGGGAGATCTGCTGTCCTCAAAGATCTCCTATAGCTTCAGCCTCCACAGACAGACGCCCACCTACCGCAAAGCCAAGGTGACTTTCTTCACAAAAATATTCTCTGTTTGGCATTCACCCACTCCCTCTGTAAACATTTATTAAAATGACACCTCCTCTGTGCCTGGCACTGAGTTAGATGCTGTATGGAATGAGAGAGATATTCAAGTTACAGTGACACTTCTCACATGCACAAACTCATTTAATTCTCACTGTAAAATTGACATTAATGTCATCATCCTACACAGAAGATGAAACTAGGATTCAGATAATTTAAGTGACCTACACAAAATCACAGTCAGAAAATAGAAAGCCCAAGGAA